GTTTTTCCCATCTTAGTTTGAAGCAGCTGCTTTGAGACTTCAAATCGTCATCCTTAAATTTATCCCTTTAAATTTTATATTGTTTTATATATCCCATGTCTCCAACCTATAAAATGATTTTGATCACTTCATCTGAACCTGAGAAAAAGGAGAAATAGAAGAATATAATTATGCACAGCTGGAACTGAGATCAGAATTTTAATATTCCCCAGAAACATGAGTATTACAAAACAGAGAAACAACCCTCCCCAATCACTGTACCTAATTTGTGGGTTTTCCTGATTAACTAATTTGTTTGGGCCTTGAAGAGGGGATGGTGATGCTGGGACCATTAATACTGATTCCATCACAGCCTTCCCAGCATCTTATTATAAAGACTAAATGAAGCATTTCTGAATGTGACCCCTGTGAGAGAAGCATTTGGGGCTGTGAGCTGGACACTTGCCTAGCTCTGCTCTGCTGCGCTCTGGATGCTGGGGTGTTCTCCGGCAGCTTGATGTAAAGTCTTAGTTTGGAGCAGGTACAAGCTTCTTTGAAAAGGAGGGACCAGATTTTTCTGTTTTCCTTTCCAGAAGATTCAAAGAGAGGGATGAAAAGAAAAGGCTTGCACATATTCAAAAGTATCTGAGAATTATGCTTCATTTAACGCGATGCTTTCATGTTTTATTTATGACATTAAAATTTGTTTTGCTTGAAAACTGAAGTTGATGAGGTCTAGAAGATAAAAAGATGAGTCATACAGATTTTGCTTCTGGGTATACTGATAAACCCCAGGCAGTTCCCTCCAGCACTATTATTTTCAGGTGTGTGCTGTGAACAAGAAGGAAATATTATGCATTTTTGGCATGGTTGCAATGGGGTTTGACCCTGTTTCCCAAGTCTCTGGGAATTTCGCTCTGTTGGCCCACTTATCTATTTCACTGATGTTCTGCACTATCAAAATTATTATCATTGTAGGGGCTGGAGAGATTGCTCAATAGATAAGTCAGCACTTGCTACTCTTCTAGAGGGCATACATGGTGGCTCACAACAATCTGTTTCTCCACTTTCTGGGGATCTAACGCCCTCTTCTGGCCTCTGCAGGCATGGAGAATGCATGTGGTGTACATACACACATACAGGCAAACACCCATATACATAAAATGAAATAAATGTATCTTTCATTGTCATAGTATTACATGGATAGGTGGGACTAGCACTCCTCTATGTTGTTACTTCCAGAAGTGTCTGACTTTTGCAATGCTCTTTGTTATTGTTGTTTTTATGTCTTTTTAATCCTTTTGTTAAGTTCTGAGAGTGGTATAACTAATATTTTCATTATACCCACACTGAATTTATCAAATGATTTGATGATAATTAACATGCAAAAGATGTTTGATGCCATTTTCTGTGAAAATAGACAATCTCAGAACAGACCCTATGTTTTGTAGAGTCCTTATAGTTTTTCCACCAAGCACTTATTTAATTTTTAGACATAGTACCAGTATTTTAGAAATAAACTGGCTTTGCAAGAGTGATTCATTGGCTGTCTGTGATGAAGTGTCCCCTCAGTCCTTTGGAATTGCTTTGTAGGCAACCGCTCCACCTATAAATCAGCAAACACATGCTTCCCTTTCCTGTGCTACTCACTTCTGTTTACATAATTGAATTGGCTGTCTAGGAAATTGACAATTTTGAATGTTGGGTATAAAAGACCTCATTGTCTTTTCCTTGTCGTTAATAGGACAATGTGTAAACATCACCAGCTTAACAAATAGTTCCGCCTGCCTCCCATATGTCACACATTGCTACAACATTGAAAAGAAAGGCAGAAAAAAAAAACTCCCTGTCCTTGTTAAATTTACTTTCTACTTGGTTAGAAAAATGAGTAAAACTTGCCGGAGTCCAGTGCCCCGTGGAGAGAAAAGTTAAGGGGAAAACATGACAGTTCATAATAGAAGTGAATGAGTGGTCTCTGTAGATGCAACAGTCATGGAATGTTCCGTGGAGAATATCTGCGTCACGACACGACAGCGTTGAGCCCCAAGGATGGAGGAAGTATAAAGGCTTGAACATGCATGTGGGTACCAGACATGGCTGAGGAGTAGCCAGGCAGTCAGCGATTTAATCAGAGTACGTGGGGAGGAGAGATGTGCACTAGTCTAAGAAATGATGAAGGCAAGAAGTTCAGCTCCACTCTTCAGTGGAATGAGAAACTTCCGGAAGATGTTTGAGCAGGGTCAAGTGGAAGACTCTGCAGAAATGATTGGTCTGTTTATGTCTGTTTTTAAATGAATTTTTATCTAAATTAAAAGCAATCTTATTTTACATACCCTCCCATCCTCCCATGCCCCCCCCACCAGCCCCCCATCCCACCCCCCTACCCACTCCCCAGGGTCAGACTTTGATGATCCCTCATGGAAGGCCTCACCCTCCGTGGTCTGTGTTTTAAAGAAAAGTGAGCTGCTGTGTTAGCAGTCATTGGGATGGAGGAGGCAGGGCCACGGGGAGGACTGAGGAGACCAGTTAAGGCCTCACACTTGCCCATCTGTGGATGAGGGTTCTCAGAGGGGTACAGAACGCTGGTCTGCATGGTCAGCATGATGGCTATTTCACTTACTGAAATTAAGAACTCTGGGAGAAATGAGGTTTGGAAAAAGATAGTAGATTAGGACGTGTTACGTTTGAGGTGCCACAGTGAGAAAGCCATGAGGAGACATCAACGAGGCTGCATTGAAGGTCCTGGATTCTGAAAGGAAAAGGAAATCTCAATTGGGCATCATATTCATCACATTTTGAGGATTTGTTTTTTGTTGTTGTTGTTGTTGTTGTCGGTTTGTTTTGTTTTGTTTTGGTAGAAGCCTAGTAGATCTACTTTTTATAGAATCAGTGATTTCAGAAAGAAAGAAAGGAAGAATGGAAGAAAGAAAGAGAGAGAGAGAGAGAGAGAGAGAGAGAGAGACAATCAAACGCAGTGTTGTTCTTAGGATAGGTCCCTGTGCCCACCCTGATTTTGGAGGTAAGGAAATAAAAAGAAAACACCCATGTTGTCCTGGAAGAGACAAGGGAGCTAGAAAGGACACAGGTGAGGGTGGTGCCCAGGAAAGCTAGCAAGAACAGTACCTCCAAGAGTCATCCATGACTGTGGCTGCTGTAACCTATTCCCATGGGCTGGGCAGTTTGTAAACAAAGGAGGTGTGTTTCTCATGGTCTCATGGGCTGGGAACCAGCATTTGGAGTCCAGTTTGGCCAAGTTCTGATGAACCATGGCTCCTATCAGTATCCTCACATGGAAGAAGGCAGGAATTGTCCTGGGGTGTGCTGTATAAAGGTAATGATTTTACTCACATAGAACCCATCCTCCTGACTTGATTACCCCCCCCCCCATCGCACTAAGGACCAGGACAGGAATTCAATGTGTGGATCTGGGGGTGACAAGTTCAGTCCATTTTAATGCTGAAAGCTACCAATAATCCTGCTGTGTCTAAATTTATCCCATCACAACACAGTACCCGGAGTCCAGCAATGTATAAAGAAAAACTTGCTTTGGGCCTTGCAGTTCTGGGAGCTGGGAACTTTGAAGATGGGGCCTCAGCATCTGCTTATTTTCTGATGCTAAGTCAACACAGGGCAGGAAGCAGACAGCAAGTAGGCATGTGTGAAACGGTTGACTGGGGCAAGCTGACGTAAAGTAACCCACTTGTGTGATGAGTTCAGTCTTGTTGGAAGTTCCTTCCTGTCTTCACAAGGGTAGATCCAGGGTGATCCAATCACTTGTGTTAGGGCATTCACCATCCCTACTGCCATCGTGTTGAGGCGTTAAGCTTCAGGGTGACTTTTACTGAGACAGTCTGACATTCAACCCACCACGGTTCAGTAAACAAGGGGAAAATATGTCTCTTGGATTAAAAGGTACAGGGACACTGTGATGTCTCAAGATCAGTTTCAACAGGAGGTAAGGCCAGGGTCCCCTTCTCCTAGTTTACGTAGCTTTTAATTTAAATCTGATTCTTTCAAACAGAGATACTTGGGGGGCTCTGTCTTAGCCAGTCATGAAGCCTGGTTTCATATTTTTAACCAGTTTCGATGCTTAATTGTTAACATGGGCGTGGCTCCTACTTCTGATTTCATTTCCCTCTGACTAGAGTACAGCAGGCTTAAGTAATATAGGGAGTCTGTCAGAAATAACCTGCACTCCTGGGTTTTCACTTAGCTGAATGTAAGATTCCCGAGTGTCCATTCTCTCTCAGCATGTGGAAATATCATTCTCTTCCCCATTACCATGCTTTTTAACAGCTTCTGTCAATAAAAACGTTATCTCTCTGTTATGGATCCCACATTCCCCCACTGGCTTTGTAAAGCTGCGTCTTACTATATGCATAAGTGTGGGTTTACCTTACTCATCCTGCTCAGCATGTGGTGTGTCCCTTTACTGTGAGTCTCTGTTTTGTTTTCTTCTGAGAAGTTCCCAGCCAACTCCCCTTAAAATATCATGTCCCTGACAGTCTGTTAATTCTTTCCTCAGGCTAATTGTTGAATGGGGTGGGGGGCCTGCATGTGGGGGACTCTGTTTCTCCTCTGCTTGTGTCCATTCTCTTAGGCTTTAATCTTTTATTTTTGTCTTTAACTGCATTCCCATCTATTCCTAGATACTGTAACTTAATTCTTCTGGAGCCTTTTTTTTTCCAAATACTGCTTTGGATTTATTTATTTTATGTGCATGAGTGTTTTGACTGCATGTGAGTGGGTGCAGTGCCTGCAGGGGCCAGAAGAGGGCATCAGATCTCCTGGAACTGGAGTTATAGGCCGCTCTCAAGCCCCCTTGTGGGTGCTAGGAATCGACCTGGGTCCTCTGCAGGAGTAGCCAGTGGTCCTAAGCCCTGGGCCATCTCTCCAGCTCCTGGGGCTTGTTGGGAGACGAGATCATCCCAGTGCTTTGGGATTTCCATTTCCGATTCCTTGTGTCTAATTTTGCTTCTCCCACTCACCTTTCACACCTTGTATTTTCTGTCTTCCTCCAGCCAGCTGGCTTCAGAAGCAGCTGAAATGAGAAAAAGGCAGCAATCCCAAAATGAAGGAACACAGGCTGTGTCTCAAGCACCCGGAAACCAGAGGCCCAACAACACCTGCTGCTTCTGCTGGTGCTGCTGCTGCAGCTGCTCCTGGTAGGTCCCCACTAGACCCATTGCATGCGCATGCGCCAAAGCTTCGTCCCACAGAAACCTGACAGCCTGTTCCGCTTGCCCCCTGGGTGTGGAGAAATTTCTGAAAACCATCCCTGGTCTACGACACACATCCCATAAGCAAAATTAACTCCCTCAACACCGACATTAAAATGTTAGTAAGGTAAAGGACAGAAAATTACTTATGTCATGTTTTCATCTGTGCATGCTTCTTATGGATATGGGTTAAAATAAGATCATAATTATAATATTACCCGTCCATAAACAACAGTGTCATGATGATTCAAGAGTCAGGAATATTAAGGAAATAGCCAACGCTATTGCATCTAGTGTTAAATGCAGTGGTATTATTATTATTATTATTATCATTATTGCTATATGCGTCCTCATAGGGGTTTGTTGCATTTGGTTGTATAATCAGAGCACTGTGAGTCAGAGTGGTGGCCTTAGCCACAACCCTCTTGCCAGCAAAGACACGATGTGAAGAGTAGAACTTATGACCGCAAATGTGAAAGATCAGACACTGTGCTTGGAAGGCAGGTTGAGTCAGTCAACTAAAATCTCTGAAATTAGAGCCAAAGAATATGATTTTGCAGAAATTTATCACTGACATGCCGTGGGATATCTGTTTATTCTTTATTTCACCTTTCAAGCCATAAAGAGAAAGACAAGTTGGTCTCCACGGTTCCTGTCTTATGCTAAATGTCCATGATTCAGGTTTCTTCCTGGGTCCAGACTCCCAAAGTGTGGTGAATGTGAAAATCAGTCCATTCAAAATCTGTGAGAGTCCCATGGATTAGAGATCTCAAGATGAGACGAGGCCCATTGGAACTTTCCATCGAACCCTATGCTTGGGGGGTCTTTCAAGACCCCATCTTATAAGTAGAACTACTAGGGTAGCAGTGGCTACGAGGTCTCCCTGGCCCATTTCAAAACCTGGCAGAAGGCCCAGGTGGCTGAGCCAGCCTCTGCATGGTCTCCACTGTTTACCGGTGTCCGCTGAGGTTGGTCTTTTGATATAGTCCTGCTTCACTGTGGCCAGGGCAGAGGACGGAAGAATGTCCCCACAGTGACTTGGCGGTCGGTCTCCCTTGATGATGGGCAAGCTGCCGCTGATCTAGAACTCTGCAGGCCCAGAGAACCTCAGGTACTATAGTCATCAGCAAGGCTCAGACTGGTTATTTTTATAACTATGAACTTTGTTTCCTAGATGATGATTCTCTGTTATGGAAAGTCATACATGATTAATCTGCATTCAATTTCAGATGAAGGAAACAGAGTTCTAGATGGGGTTGCTATCTCTGTCATAGTTATGGTTTTGTTTTCTGTTTTGTTTTTTTCTCATCACTCCTACAGAGACTTATTGAGTATAAGTCTTAACCCCTGAAAGACCTAGTCAGTCAGTAGGGGAGCACTTAAGTCAGACTGCCAGAGATCAAATTGTGACCAACTGTGTGACCAATAATAAATGAGTTCATCCTTCTGGTCCTCACAAGCCTCATCTGTCAAATAACTAATGTGAACCCATACCTCACAAAGCTCTAAAAATTAAACGAGATGCTACGTGCGGTGCGCCAAGAAGAGCATATGACACAGAGTGAGCATTTAATATGATTTAGCTCCCCCAGGCAATGGAAAACTGCATTTCAGAATAATAGAATCCGCTCGAAGAGTGTAGTACGAAATTAAAAAACCAGCACAGCATGTTGGGCCAGCAAGATGGCTCAGCAGGCAAGAGGACTCATCATGTGTGCCTGGTGACCTGATTTTGATCCCTGGAACCAACATGGTGGAAGCAGAGAAGCCAGCCTGAGGGGTTGTCTTCTGGCCCCACACCCTGCCACAGCACACTCATGCCTGCACACGCAGGAGCACGCATGCCGCATGCACACACACACACACACACACACATGCACACACACACACACACACACGCACACACACGCATCATATACACACACGGCAATAATGAAAGGTTGGAAGCAGCATGTGTCAAACTATCTTATTCTAAATTCTGTATAAACATTGGAAATGCGGTTTACATAGTGCTAAAAATGAGCTTCTGCTTTTCATTCTCTATTTACCATGTTCTTGAGATAGGTATTGTTTTGTTTGCTTGCTAAAATTTGATTTTTAATTTTTTTACCTATATGTGTATGGATATTTTGCCTGTGTGCACATCTATGACCACGTGCCTCACTGTTAACCAGAAAGACCAGAAGAGGGCGTCAGATCTCTAGGGACTGGAGTTAACAGATGGCTCTGAGCTGCCCTGTGGGAGCTGGGACTCGAATCCAGCTTACCTGGAAGAGCAGCCAGTGCTCTTAACCACTGAGTTATCTCTCCAGGCCCAGTTCTTCATTATTTTCACAATTAAAACACTCTACCATAATCTTAAAGTTGGGCTGTACTCTGTTAGATGCCTAACAAATACATTTGTCATTTTAACAACAGGGATATATTCTGAAAACCGTAAATATGGCCATTTCTTCCTTTACATAGCACCATACTCTGGACCTAAGCAAACGTAGACCATGCAGGCCAATCACTCCATGTGGCTCCTTGAGGACACCCTAGGCTGGAGAAGGATGGTGTTGGTGTGGCTCCTAGGATTACTTTTATGAGTGATATTATTTTTATTTTATTTTATTGTTATATGTGAGTGTTTTATCTGAATGGATGTCAATGTACCACATGCACACAGTACCTGCAGAAGCCAGAAGAGGGCGCCAGATGCCCTTGAACTAGAGTTTTAGATGGGTTTGAGCCACTATGTGGGTGCTGGGAGTTGAACATGGATCCTACAAAGAACTGAGCCACCTCTCCAGTCCTGTGACATTATATGTACTAGTGCACTCTACCAATAAAAACTACAGTATAGTAAATGCAAAAATGGATAACAACATTCAATAGTGAGCATGCGTTTCACATAGCTATGTGTGCTGTGTGCTCATGTGACCTACGGGAGAGGTGATCATCTAGACCAGTATCATCACAGATGAGTGGACAATGTGCAGCATCACAGGGCAACAGTGCTTAAGTTGTCACTAAGAGGGAATGTTATGCCCCATTATAATCAAGGACCACTGTTACCTAATATCTGGCACTGACTGACATATTTGTATGTGGTATATAACTGTACTCCATGAGACTTTATTCCATTGCCTCATAGACATCTATGTGACTATATGCATTGAGTAATCAAACACCCCAACTTGTTCATGAGCATCAAATTGTCATAAAACACAGACTAATGATCAAGAACAAAATAGCTTTCAGAAGCTTCATCATCCTTCCACCTTTTGAGTGGCAGTATTTTAGACACCCCCAAAATTCATGATGCCTTGCCTGGGTGCTCTGCTAACTAGTCTGAAACTAGAGTCCAGCTGTCAAAACTGCACTTGTCCGCGGTAGATCATGATTTGCCTAAGTCTAGGACTTAAAAGTATAGTCTATGCATTTCCAGGCATATAAGACATGACAGACAGTTTCTCTTTTTATACGGTATTTTGTTGTTTATATTCATTGCACATAGCGATAGATTCCATGAATATGCTTTCGTGTAAAGCATACCTTGGGTATATTCATCCCCTCACCTTGAATTTTCTTACTCCTCCCCGCCCCTTTTCCTCTTCATTCCCCCAGATATGAGCAATTTGGGTTTCCAGAAAGTAAAATTCAATTGCCTTACACTATGGATTTTAGTCATAATATTGCCTACATAATTTCAGATCAAAGTGTCCTACACATAGAGTTTTTAGAATTTTATTATTTTTGTACTTTGAATTTAGGAAAGAAAATTTTAAGGTATTTTTTGAGTGAGAAAGTTAAAAAAAAAGAAAGAAATGCTCTTTAAATTTTCCAGGCGAGGTCAAAGGAGAAGAACAAAAAGCACCATGAAAAAAATGTAATTTAGAGCCTAAAAAGCGTTAGAAATCAAAACACGGAGCAGCTGTCACCATGGATGGGGGCTGTTGCCGTGTGACTGGCTTCCCTTCCTTTTAAGGAAGTAAAGGGCTGAAAAAGATGAATTTCTATGTCAAGGAATAAATGTAAATGCTTCGCTGTGCCTTCACAATATGGGCTTTTAAAATAAGGTAGCATTTCTTTCAAATTTGCTTTTCTCATCCGAACTTCACTGGCTGCCGTCTCTCGTTCAGTAATTTACCCCTCCTTATAAAATTATCAGCATTTCATTGCAGAAAGGGGGCAGCATGTGTTCCTGCTGGGCATCCCTACAGTCTCCTCAAAGCCTGGAGTGTGGCATACTTCGCAATGACTGCTCCGAACTGTCGCCGTCTGAAAGAGCCTTCGCTAACACAGCCTCTTTCTTTTGTTCCCTCCTGTCCTCCATTTCAAGAAGAAATGTCAAGAAAGTGAGGCTTATAGACTGTCTTATACACGAGCCATGAACGCCCAAAGTACACTCAGCAAAATCTGTGTGTGCACTGGGCCTTCTCTGCAGGAAAAGGGGGAACGTTGACAGCATCACTTATCTGAAGGGTGCAGGCCCTCCCTAACTTGCCTCTTCAGCTAGTAGCCTCCTGGCTGGTTCTTCTTACTGAGGAACACTTTGAAACCTCCCACTGTCCCTCACTGCCTGCTGTCAGACAGTAGGAAGCATAGGAGCTACTGAAATACTTGTACCCAACACAGCATGTGTGCATGTGTGGTGATATCTCGTTTGTCTGAAGATCAGAGGATAGAGCTTTACCACTAGATATACAGGCAGACAAGAAGTGATATGACTAGGCAGAAACAGGAAGTGAGATGGCTAGGAAGAGAGAGAGAGACAGAGAGACAGAGAGACAGAGAGAGAGATGATATAAGCGGGAAGAGACAGGAACTTGCTCTCTTTTCTGCTGGGAAGCTAATGAGGTAAAGGTGGCTTTGGCTTGCTTTTTCTCTCTGATCTCTCAGCATTTCCCTCTATATCTGACTGTGGGTTTTTATTATTTAAGCCAATTAGGAACTCCATTTAT